CGATTGTTAATATCTTTTAAAAATATAAAATTAAAAAAAGAACTAAGATATTTAAATCATTGATAACAAAAAATTTCAATGTGAAAAATTTAATAAGTTTATAATTTATAAATGTTCTTGAAAATTTATTGAAAATTTTGAAATTAAAATATTTATGTAATCTTATATGGTATATAGTTTAATCTGTATATATATATTTTTTTATTATTGAATGATACTTTTTACTTATATGGTTTTAAAATCATGTATATATTTTTATAATAAAATGTTAAACTATTGATCATTAATTTTTAACATAATAATTTTAATAGTTTAGTTATTTATTCTCGTTTCTTAAAATTCAAAATATAACCTATACGAAAAAATCTAAAGTTTAATTTTATAACTAATTTGATTGTTTAATTTATTTTAATAATATAAAATTAAAGAAAAATGATGGAGGATATATAAACTGTTATCAAATATTTATTATTAGAATCATTAAGTGTCATATATATATATTAGTCATTTATGGTAATTTCGTAAGTTTTATTTATGGAAATAAAATAAAATAGTAATTATATTTTAGGGAACAATCATTAAGTGTCATATATATATTAGTCATTTATGGTAATTCCGTAGGTTTTATTTATGGAAAGAAAATAGCATATCATATCATTATATCATTTAGTTTGACTAACTAATGTATCTAGCAACCTATAAAAATGCAATGTAGACTTACTTATTTTTCAATTGAATCTAATTGACTACCTAATTGAATGACACCTATGCATTGGGTCTCTTTTAATTAATACAAAATTGAGGTTACATCTTTTCAAATGTTCCTCAATTAATATATAGGGGATGTTTGTGAAATGTATTTTATGTTAATAGAGTGGACTAATCCTAAGTCCACTGTGGAAGAGATTTCTCAAAAAAAGCTCATGTCACTAAACAACAATTAGAGCCAAAGTAAAATGTCGTGTAACTGTGAGTGCGTCCACGTCACGTGGGATTTGCTGTGCAGATTTTCTGACAAGTGCAAAAGCGAGGTTCAGTGTGGATATCAATAGACGTCAACCGTTACAGAGGTTTAGAGGTTATGATCTTGCACGCATGTTTGGGATCCAAGGACATCTTGAAGGTTCATGTTTGGTGATGATCCGTGCATGGGAGAGTAAGTAGAGAGCAATCACATTGGCCTAAGACCATTTTATAGTTCCATTTTTTTTCATAACCTTTGAAACTTTGGATTATTGCAGGGAATTTGTAAACTATCTTTAGAGCATAAAGATCATTTCATCAAGTGAGGTTCAACAGATGAGCTTAGATGGCAACTTTGCAGGTTTACCAGCTACTAATCAAGCTTGTAGCGGCTGTGATAGCGGCAATGCTTGGAGAGGTCACTATGATGATAACTCAGCCACCTTGTTTAACTGGTGAAGGCAGAAGACTCTCAGTCACAGGCAAAGATTCTTTTTGCTTCCTTTGTAAAATATCTTCAACTAAGTTTAGACGAATGTTTTATTTTGATGAGTGTTACGAACTGGTAAACATAAGCAACTTGGTATGAAGATTGAAACTCAAGTCTTTATTTCAGATTATGCTCATGCCTGTCTATGAAAAATTTCCACAATAGGGATACAAATTGCAAGTTACAAAAATATAAACTAAGAAAGGATGGCCATCACATCCGAAGCTCTCAGGGCAATGTAGTTTGAACCATCTTTGCCTTTGAAGTCGTTACCCGCATACTTGGAGTAAAGAACTGTGCTTCCAGTTGATATCGATAGTGGCTGAACCTTACCTTCCTCATCTAGAGTACCTGGTCCAACTGCTATAACCTACCAATATAAGCAGAGAAGAGATTACGTATAGTTGACACTTCGCGTTATGAGATTATGAAATACTTGACACTTGTGAACACGTCAAAGTGTGTGCTTACCGTGCCAATAGAAGGCTTTTCTTTGGTAGTCTCGGTTAACAACAACCCTCCAGCTGTTTTCTCCTCTGCTTCAGCAACCTAAACCCATTTCATAACAAAGACTTCCTCTGGTTATCACTGTTCTTGTGTGCACAAGTAATAAGATGATTAACATAAACACAAGAGGTGAACCTTAATGAAGACTCGGTCATTCAAGGGCTTGAGATCTTTGATGTCCTCTGTCTCAAGAAGACCAACAATGTCATCTTCCTTGAGAATGAGATGCTTCACATCGTTGAACTCCACCTCAGTTCCTGCGTATTTGGAGTAAATGATTTGTGCTCCAGTCTGCATCCACGAAAAAAAGGCATTTCAGATAAATTTATTATCATAAAACGAAACTAAGGAAGATAGATGGCTTGAGGTTGTTACAGGGATAGTGATATCTATTTTGTTCTTCCCAATAGTTCTTCCTTCACCCACAGCAATGACTTCACCACCTTGAGGCTTTGATTGAGCGGTAGATGGAAGTAAGATACCTCCCATAGTCTTCTCCTCTGCCTCCTTGATCTTCACCAAAACTCTATCTCCCAATGGCTTAATCGAAGTATACTGCAAATAACACAGACAAACTTATATTCCATAGCTAAAGAAGACAGAACATACCCAAATATCTACCATTAAGTTAATGCACTTAAAAGCTAAGTTTTTTTTTTTCAAATGTCATGAGCCAGAGCTATACAAACAGCAATTAAACATTCAGATAAAGTTCCACATGTTCTCTCAAATATGTGCAACCACACCAAGTAAGAAACAAAGACGAATCAAAAGCAAACAAATGAGCAAGTAATACCTTGGGAGCAACAACAGAAGCAGCTCTGACAACCAAAGAACGGAACTGGCTATGCTTAAGGGTGCCTGGTTTCAAAGTTCCAAACTTTGAACTCGAAGCTCTGAGACCTTCAAGTGAGGATAAGCTCCTGGCTGACACTGTCACTGGTGATGCTGTTAGTTGTGTCGCCGCCATTTCTGCCATCAGTCAAAACACACATAAAACTCCCAGTTAGTGAGATTTCTCCAAGTTTGACCAATTATACGCAAAACCCAATCACTATTGAGCGAACCCATTACTTTCTCCGCCAAAAGTTCAGACCTTTATGTTCAATTCTCGTTGTGAGCTTAAAAGACAGTGAAGACTGTGTGGGAATGTAACGAAAAAGAGATTCATACCTTGAGGATAAGAGAAGGGGACTGTGACTTTGGAGGATAAACCCTAAGAATTGCAGAAGAGATAGATAGACTCGAAGCACACACGAGTGCCTCTTTTTATTGCAGGAAGAGAAACTCTATCTAGAATGCTCTGCCGGGTGGGTTATACGGGTCGGGTCCGTTACCTAATCATCTTAGACACGACACACTTTCTATGTTTTCTTTTGTCACGCAACATATTATTATACTGTTGTTGTTGCTTATGTATAAATGTCACAGTAATCCGTATAAAAACAAATAATTATTTTCATAGAAAGGAACCATTATTAACCACTCCAATTTCTTCAAACCAAAATACAATTGATCCTGAACTGGAGAGTCATTGATTATGTTCAAACATTAGTATGGATGTTTTTGATGTTGATGAATGATGATGATGTACGGGTCGCTGAGAGGTGTAGTTTCGTGTAGATTGAGTTTGTTTTCCCAAAGTTTGGACATTGTTTGTTTATGAGGGTTAAGAAGGTAAGCGTGACAAAACGTTCGGAGAACACAGTAACAAAAACAGATTTCTAGAAAATGGATTTCTAATTCTAAAATTTCTGTTAATCATCTCAAAAGACAAAGTTGAGTTAGATTCTGTTCCGTAAATATGTTCGGACAAGCCCTGGTATGGTTTACGACAATGAGCTTTGTTTCTATACCAGAATGAATACTATAACTTACACCTCAGGCCGCTATTACCTCAATGTATGTCATAAAAAACATGTAACTTGCAAAAAACTTATATCATTGCGAAAAGGATTTCATTCCACGTATCAGGAACTCCAGGCAAGCACCAATGAAGACAATCCTGAACTCCTTTCGAAGCCCCCGAGATACTAAACCGTGATATATGACCTTCATCTCTAACATGAGACAAAGCCGTTATGTCCAAAAGCTTAACCCCTGTGCCTTTCACTGCATGTCCCGCACTGTAATCACTAGACTCCTCTTGCAAAACTTCTTTCCCAATAGACATTGGTGTCGTGTTATTACAGCTCCCTCCAGTGTTCCATTCCCCGCCGACAAAATGTCTCGGAGAAAGGCTTCTGTAGAAGGCCTTAAGACCAGGATGGTTAGGAAGCTGCGAGCTAACCCAACTAACAGTGCTGTGGATTGTGAAGTTCTTGGCGTTGCCAAGAGCTGCTAGCTTCTTGTTAGTATTGGGCCTTCCGTTTAAATGCATCACCCATCTGTTGCCGTTGAGCTTCCCTCTGTTCCAGTGGTGACCTGTGTTCATCACCAACACGTTAATCTTGTGAAGGTATTGGCGTAAGAACGCTGGTGGACGATCTAGATGCATGGCGTGTTCGGTTAAAGGGTCAGAGATGTTGAGCGGTTCTATGTCGCAGAGTGTTGATGACCAAGTGTATAGGACTGTTGTGTTGGTTTCTGGGAATCTGTAAGCCCAGCCACCAGGACGAGCTCCACCTTGGGGAGTTATGAACCCAAACTCTGGTCCCACGTCAAGGACATCGAGTCTCTCTTTGCCTCCTGTGATCATACACATCATAGATTGAAACTGTTGTCTTCCTAACGAGTCTCCAACAAAGGCTAGGGTCTTGTTCTGCATCCTGAGAGACATGCACTGTTACTAAGGACTAGATGGGAACACTTGGCTACATCAATAGCTACATAGGTATACTGCAGTTTTTTTACCTTTTCAAGAACTTGGAACCCTCAAATTCTTCCATAGAGCAGTCTTTAGGTTGCCATCTTAACCTTTCAAAGGCAAAGTCTGTACGTTGCATCAACCTGCAGGCCCACATAGACGCAAGCCACTGTTTGCAACGAGATCCTGAATACAAAGGACGGTGATTGTCCACAACCCATTTCCCTTTCGCGTAATTGCAACCTGTATTATTTATTCACATAGGACGGAATCATAATGAGACAAGCTTTAATACGGTTCAGAGATTTAAACCATAGTTTCATTGAGATGTCATAAGACACTTGTTTACCTTGATTGGCGATGCTAGCTGTTGAAGTACTACCATCATCTTTCTTGGCTTCGTCTGTTGTAAGAGTTTTAATCTCTGGATCTGAAGTAGTCTTTTCAGTATGTGTGGTCTTTGCTTCGGCCTCACCAACAGAAACCTCTTGTTTCACCTGTTTTAATTTATTTTCTTCACTAGTTGGTGTCTTCTGATGTTTTGGCTCACTTACAATAACTTCATGTTCCACTTGTTCAAGGTTCTTTTCTTCAATAGGTGATGTCTTCACTTGATTCGTCTCACTTACGCTAACTTCTTCCACTTGTTTCTTTTCTTCTTCTGTATCTTTATTATCAGTATGGTCCTCTTCGCTTTGCTCTGTAATAGAAAAGCCGGGAAAGGGAATAAAGCTATATCACAAAGTTTTAAGAAAAAATAACTTTTGAGCAGATCACAAAATGCAATACAGAGATGTTGTATATGATTGAACATTACCTTTGTTTACAAAGGGGGTCGCTGATGAGTATCTGTCTTTCTTTTCAGTATTCAGTGCCGTAGATATTCTTTGAAGCTCTTCTTCTGCAAATGAGAAAGAACTCGGTCATATACTCCAGTAGGATCTAACTGTACTATTTAGTTTCAATAACTTCCACAGTAATTTTTGAAACATAAACAGGAAAAACTACAAGTGACAAAAAAGTATACACTGATACGTTTGGCAAAGAAATTTTCAGACTGATAAAACAGGAGAAACTAGAACTCAAAACATTTTAGTGTCATGCAGTTTTGCAGAATCAATCAGGCATTGTTCCAGCATTCAATATATATCTAACACTACGTTCTAGAAAGAGAGTTTTAGCGTCATAGTTAAACCTGTTTCCAGCTTTAGGAATTGACTTTCAGGTGGAAGATAGGCCGTAGTTGGTGTACTATCCCATGTCCATATGACGACAGTTGCACAAACAAGCACAACAAGCACGAGAGATATATCTCTAGCCCTTCGTCTAAGGGCTCCTCTTTTCATCCTAAAACAAAATTCCAATAAATAAGCTGTAATGATTTCATTCCGTCACACCTAATAAGAGATTAAAGAAAAATGATAAAGAAAGTTCTAAGGATTCCCCTAAAGAGATAAAAAAAAAAATCACATCAGACCCATCAAAACACTTGTCTTTAGGATCTTTAGACTGCTTAGTTACATACACATGTCAGTAAAACAAAAGGCTACAGTCAACTAGTGAGATATCTACCTATTTCTATGGAGGGTCATGCTTCTGGGACGTTCCAGAGAAAACTTTCGGTCACACTAGATCAAGACATATATGTCCAGCTAACTCGATGTTCAATGTGATCACCAACTTAATATCTCATTCAGGAGAAGATTCCTTGAAAAAAAAATCATGTCAAAATAATTGGTGTTTAGCAAATAAAAATAAAAGAAAAAAAACATCAGTTTACACACTGATTCCATCACAGGAGACCACCAAAAGTGCATCCAGAGAGATAATTATAAAGACAATTAGCTAAAATTAGCATATCTCCCACCTACCAAAACACTGTTCCATTTCAAACTAATAACTGGTAAAGAAAACACATATTAATTGAATTTGGTTGATTCAGTAAGAGTTATAGAAAATGAGCCAATATTTGCAGATTGCAGAACAGGAAAGTTTTGATTTTTATTCCAAAAGCAGCATAGTATAATAAAAAAAAACAACTAAACTAATCTCTCCTCAATATTACTACTTAAGGAATTTCACATCAACACGAAAGGAAACTTCCATATTTGTCCTATGATTCATAAAAAGGAGACAGTTTTATGAGAGACGAAAACAAAATAGATCAGATCGAAACGATGAAGCGAGGAGCATAATACAAGATCGAGAAAAGTACCTAGAATTCTCTGAGAATTGACAGATCAATGAAAACAAATCTCTGAGATTGGAAGAAAGTGATATCAATTCAAGGGGTTTGCTTGATGTCGGCGATGGTGAACTCCGATTCACCGGAGATGCCGTACACAGAGAGGCGTTGTGTTCGGAGGAAGCTACGTATGTCTGGACAAATCGAAAATCAAATTCAAGTAAGTGAGCAAAAAGGTTTGGACTTTGGTTATGTAATAACTAACACTTGTCGGTCGTAGAATCGTATTTTTTATTAATAACTAAACAAAAGTCTGTTTGGTCTGTAATTGCTTTGCTTGAAACTTTGTTTTTGTCAAATTCCAACATCCATGTGTCATTAAACCGTTGAAAGGTTCGTTAAAAAAATTCACAAACACTTATCACTAACTTGGTTGAATCTTATTAGCCTCTGGATAGATAAATCAATTCCGTTACATCACTTACTTTGATTAAAAGTCTTAGCCTCTCGATAGTCATTTAACTTTTATCATTATCAAGAACTACAACAGATTGTAAAAGATGTCGGACGATTCGATAGTCCATGATTTAGTAGTATGCATTTTTCGATTTTGATTGGTGCAAATCATATGATTTAATTTTTTATAATTAAACCCTATGTGTTGGCGGCCCATCATTTATGACCCAAGAAAGCCCAAAATAACAGTACTGGATCTTCCTTTGATACTTTAATGATTGTTCCGAAGTTCCGCAGATATCTTTTAGCTTCCCTGCCTCACAAATCATGAAGTAGTAGACGTCCATCAACATTTTTATTTTTGTATAGCGAACCTAACCATCTGATTGGCCACGGTATCAGTCACTGACTCACTGATGTGGAATGATTTTGAGAGTTGTTTTTCTTTAAAAAAAAAGAAGCTTTATGCTGTATTTATACTACTAAAGATAACAGAAAAGTATTTGACATTCCTTCATAACTTCATAACTGCTGACAACGAAAGATTTCAAGGAACATTAAAAGTTTATTTGTGAACTAACCATGAAAAGAAAATAGAAATTAGTCTCTTTAGAGAGAGCTAAGAGATAGATAGGAAGAGAAAGGGGAAGATTTTAATAAGATAATGAATCCTTGAGTTTAATAAGATAATGAATCCTTGAGTTTGATCCAAAAAAAAACTTCAGATGTTGCAAAGATGTATGGATGCACGGGCGCATTTATCAAGTACATTCAGTCATCAGTTTGATATTATATTGTTCAAATCTCAACAGTTTGCAAGATAACTAATTCGAACTAAATTGTTGCTCCACTGGTATATTCGAGAATAAACTTGTTTAATATATACTGGAAAACCTGCTCATTCCAGAATTTGTTGTAACACTTGGATGATCTGGAAATCACATGGTCCTAATAAAAGATAGTAAAAACATTTTGGCTTATGTAAGCCAGCAGACCACAAAATGCCGGCAAAAAATATGATTAACGGTCGAGATTATAAGAAAAGTATAATAAGAATAAGTGGGTGTTCTTATCATTCATGTGAAAAGCCAAAACCAAGCCAGCTGTAAAACTCGGTTTGCCTGGTACCACATAATATACATTATTGATATATTACATTTGTATTTAATGGATCAAAGTGATTCCACAACTAAAAATAGACAAAACTAGTACTGCTCCATTATGTTGTATCTGTTGTACCAACATATATGGAGAAACACATGAGCGAGCGACAGAGACAAAGAACATGTTGGTTCTTTTAGAAAACGATTCTAAAACGTAACTAGTTCTGATTGGCTACCCATCTTACTTGTTTAACAAAACGATTCTAAAATGTAAGCAACTATGAAATCTAATGACTGATTAGTGTGAAAGAGAATACGAAGTTATATATATACAAACATAGGAGATCTGTTGGATCAGTGATCTCTCCTAATTAGTACATAATCAAAATAATCTATATATATATATATAAAAAAAAACACCAAATGTACCTAGACAAATTTTTTGTATGATTCCTTTGTCAGCCTTCGTCAGCCATATATAATACTGATAAGTAACTCATGTCACTATTGACAATTTGGCATCAAGCGAATAATATGGTACACTTGCGTACTAGTTGAGATTGCAAGTAAATAAGATTTAAGTTTTTAGCTAGTGACTAATTATATATGCCACTTACAATTTTAAGACTTTAAATGTTCAGGTTTGTCCCTTCTGAAATCAATCGTGTCAATAGTATTGATCTTGGAATGTAATAGACATACTTGTGCGCATGCAGAACATGAATTTGAAAAATCTTACATGCTATATGTATGTCACCAAATCTCACCGAAAAAAATATTTGATCTCACCCCCAAATATATAGAATTGATTCGAGTTATAACCAACAACATACCACACATGTGCTAAAAGCTACAATAATGCCGTTACGATGCACGAGCTTGCCTTCAATTCATTTCAAGAAGTCAAAAAGCTTCCAATTTAGTTAGAATCTCCCTTAGACTCGGGTAATCTAAGGAAAACTCCAAGACAACTTTGCTTGAACCATTGATCAATATTTATCAGGATTAATGTCTTATTTAAAAAAAAAAAAAAACTGGGCCGAGCTTACATCAAATGTATCATCCCATAATTATCACACTTTGTGGTAAGGCTGGGATATATATAGAGAATTCGGCCAAAAAAAACACCAACTTTGCACGAATGGCCAAAAGAAACCTGTACTCGAGTCTGGCCAAAAGAAACCTGAACTTTTGTTGACTTTATTAGTTTATTAAGAAACTTACGATTGACTCGCCATTTTAACACACCATTAACAAACCGTTAAGACGGTGTTAAGTCGGACGTTAATTGTTGCCGTTAGGATGAAACGACGTCGTTTTAAGCTATTTGAAAATAAAAAACGTAGACCACTAGAATCGAACCCGGGTTGATTGGATTAAGTGGCAAGGTTGTTTACCACTAGGCTAGTGGCACATTCAATGTATCTACTAACACATTTAGTTATATTTGGTACTGACTGAATATTAAAAAAAATCTATAAAAACTTTAAAAATCTTTAAAATTTCAAAACAAATGAAAAATAAAGATTTTTTTTATAAAATTAATTTTGAAATTAAAATTAAAATAAAATTTTATTTTTCTTTAAAAATCAGACGGGAACTTATAAAATTTTATTTTTCTTTTAATGTATCTATTAACACATTTACTTATATTTGGTACTAATTGAATATAAAAAAATCTATAAAAACATTAAAAAATCTTAAAAATTTCAAAAAAAAATGAAAAAATAAAGATGTTTTTTATAAAATTAATTTTAAAATTAAAATAATTTTTTTTCTTTAAACTAAAATTTTGGAAGATTTTTGATTTTTTAAAGAAAAGAAAAATTATTTTAATTTTAATTTTAAAATTAATTTTATAAAAAAACTCTTTATTTTTTCATTTTTTGAAATTTTAAAGATTTTTTAAAGTTTTATAGAATTTTTTTTATATTCAATCAATACCAAATATAAGTAAATGTGTTAGTAGATATATTGAAAGAAAAATAAAATTTTAAGAGTTCCCGTCTGATTTTTTTAAAGAAAAAAAAATTATTTTAATTTTAATTTCAAAATTAATTTTAGAAAAAAACTCTTTATTTTTTTCATTTTTTGAAATTTTAAAGATTTTTTAAAGTTTTTATAGAATTTTTTTTATATTCAATAAGTACCAAATATAAGTAAATGTGTTAGTAGGTACATTGAACGCGCCACTAGCCCAGTGGTAAACTACCTTGCAATTTAATCCGATTAACCCGGGTTCGAGTCCAGTGGTCTATGGCTTTTTATTTTAAATCGCTTAAAACGACGTCGTTTCATCTCAATTGAAAACGACGTCGTTTCATCCTAACGGCAATAATTAACAACGTTAATTTTTTCTGTTAAATTTGTTGACGGCGTGCCAAATTGGCAAGTCAACAAAAACTTTGTTAATTAATTCGAAAGTCAATGAAAAGTTTATGTTTTTTTTGGTCATGCNTCATCCTAACGGCAATAATTAACAACGTTAATTTTTTCTGTTAAATTTGTTGACGGCGTGCCAAATTGGCAAGTCAACAAAAACTTTGTTAATTAATTCGAAAGTCAATGAAAAGTTTATGTTTTTTTTGGTCATGCCAAAAGTTCAGGTTTCTTTTGGCAATTCGTGTAAAGTTCGTGTTTTTTTTGGCCGAATTCTCGATATATATAACATTTTATGATTTTTTCAAACTTTCCAGGTATAAACTTTGATCAAATATGTTTTAAGACCAAAATATCGGCAGCTGATGTCAACTTGGTACAATATTTAATTGGTACTCGGCTTATAATAACTACGTGCATTTTCTAATATAAATGTTAGAAAATTGGTACTCAGTCATTGCCTCATTGGTGACCACAAATATTTGTTAGTATGGTTTCTCTACTTGTTACTTGCTATTGGATAATAATTATGATGCCGAGCCATTAACTGGTTTGATTTGATTGTGAAATTGTTGAAATGCATGATTCTGTGGATAAGTAATTAGATAATAAAATTAAACTTTTACTAGATGTTAAATGGATTAACAGAGATGAAAGTTAAAACACAGACTAAAACACATGTACTAAATAAGAGAATTTCGATATAGATGAGAAAATAGAACGTATGGTATAGAAAGATGAAATTTCTAAATAGACCAAAGACAAGTATCGTGTTCAAAGCAGAAAACTGCAAAAATACTTTTCAAAGCCTCCCTAACGCGTTCCTCAATTTTTAGGTGAATTAATCTTTATGAAATGATGGTTCGATTATAGTTGTCACATATCACTCGTTCAATATTTGGTCCCAGCATGTGATGGTTTGTATACAGTACAATGTATATTTAGCTTACTATTTAGGGCTTTTTGCAGAATTGACCTGAAACTTGAAGTCAACCACAAAACTAACCTCCCTTTTTTTTGGAACTTTATTTTGCCCAATTCACCCCACAAGTTCATATAATTCACGAAAATGCCATCAAATTTTTTTTTTTTTTTGGTTTCGAAAATAACATATTTACTCTCTCACCCTCATCATCTTCAAGTAATTAC